CTAAAGATAGCTATGCACTATGTTTCACTGTTGAGTTCAATTCTGCTTCACCTGCTAAATCACAATAGAATATGTAGGCGTCAAGCTGGAGATGTAGTCAGACCAAGCGACTGAGAAGAACTTAAAACAGGTCACAGGAACAGCAAACATCCCAATTTAGAGTTAGCCAAACATCCTAATTCTCAGTGTCTGGGAGGATGGAGAATCTGTAAAGAGCTCACACATGAAAGATGAGAGCAAGCAAACATACCGAAATAGCCTTCGTCAGAATGGAATAAAACATTTAAGTTAGCATGCTGTAATACCAATACAGTTTTCTGTTACCTCTAGTGACCCTAAGCCTCCACATTCCACATGGTGTTCAGCCTTTCTGGATGGTAATTGGGTAACAACCCTGTTTAACAATTACATAGTGGCAGTTATGAAAGCAAAAAAAAAAACTTTCTGTAGTGAAAGTACCAAACGTATTTGGTTAAATACAAACAGCCAACCACTTCCTGTTGAAATAATAATTGCTGCACAAGACAATTCAAATACAATTTGAAATACACCAGTAAGAAGCATCAAAAGTTACAAAAAAAGATAGACGTTTGACAAAAGACATATAGGAATAACCGTTTTTTTTCAAGGGCCATTTGGAGAGTTTCTATTTCTTTTTTTAAATAAAGGAAAGGTGTTCTGTAAATATATGTTCCCTTTAGGATGGATGACTGTCTCCTCTGACTGTAACATACACCGATGTGCAGAAAGACCATCACAAACAATACATTTAAGAAGTTTTGTTTGGATACAGTCTTTAGAATGAGACCCCCTTTTTTTTTTTTAAATGAGTAAAGTGTCTGATCTAAACTGTGAAGCCCCCTTTACCTTCCCAGTTTAAATGAACGGCTGGCTGTATGGTGCAGCTGCTCAGCCTCCTTCTGTTGGTGTTTGCTGATCAGGCAGTGATTGGCAGTTTCACTAACACACTACACGCTCCATTTTTTGACATTTTGACAGTTCCTCTTTTGTGGAATGTAATCGACTATATTCAGCCTATTGTCAGTGAAAAAATCTGAACGTGACAATGCTGTTTGTTCCGTATAAACATGCAGGCATGTCTAAAAATGAATAATATTTGTGACTGGATGTTTTCTGTGTCCAAACTCCAGCAGAGGGGGGGGTCAGTGTTTGGTGAGGCTGTCCACTTGTCACCCCCGTGATGAAGCACATGTGCGTGACTCCTCGGCACCTTCAGAATAGCCCTGGGCAGTCCCCTCTGTTCCTCTGTTTTCCCCCTGAAGTTCACAGCATTGATTTAGAGAGTGAGATAAGCCCCACAAGCGCTGTAAAAACGCCAACCTTCCTTCCAGGTCTGGTGCGTGCCTTACACCAATAACAGACATAAATCAGAGTAATGGCCTCGTCTCATTTATCACTCCCGTTCACACGATGATGTCACTTCCTGATATACTTTGATTTTCCCTGACTGAAACTATGCTCAGAATGTGAGAAATGCTGGAAGCTTCACAATGCAACCGTATGCCTTTAGTGTGAGAGCAAATCATCACCTGCACACACCCTCCTGAGCTCCTCCCTGAGCTCCATGCTCACTCACACGCGATGAGCAATTGAGCTGTCAGTCAAGCCAGAGAGGAAGCGAGCGGGGAAACGGGGCAGGGGCCACTGTGAGGGCCCGGGATGTTTAGTTTTCTACAGCTGGGAAGTCGGGGCGCCATGTTTGAGAGTCAGGCCAAGTTTTCAAAGCGGCACGCAGGAAACAGCTCTGAATGTGGTCATACAATTTAAAGATAAGGTGCACATGATTGGTAGATATGTACACATTCTGGGCAAGGATCAAATATTTAGACAAACTATATCCTTTAAAAAAAAGATTACAAAAAAGTGTCAAAATTCAGCATTTAAAAATAGATTCACATTTTTAAGACGTGCAGAATGTTGATGAAAGAATTGTATGTACTGTGAAGAAATAAATGTATATATTTTTTTAATCAGCAAGAGCAGCATCTGTCCCATTTTGGATTTTTACTTAAAAAAACTGGTCAAGGATCAAATATTTCAGTAAACGATGTCCTTTTTAGAAAAGGTTAGATGCAGTATTTAAAAATAGAATTTTGGTGAAATAATTTTGTTTACTCATTGTTGGAAGAATTTAATTTTACATATACAGAATATACAGAATATATATATATATATATATATATATATTACAAAAAATTAAAATTATTTTCATATTTATATACATATATATTAGTTTTTTTTTAAATGAGAAATATACATAACAAACAGACCTTTTTAGTACTTGTCATGAATGAGTGGGACAATTAACATCAAATCAAACCAAAGGCCTTTACCGTCTAATTACATTTTCTTTGTTGTTATTATTGAAAATAAAAACAAAGTGTGTGATAAGTATGTGATTAGTGTAAGGGATATTAGATATATATTTCTGTAAAATTGGTCCTCAAAATAAAACAAAAAAAATCCAACCCCGGCTCTACAGAAACACAGGGTAATCATTAGGTCACACGAGAGGATTCTTGTCATTTTAGCGAAATAACCTGAGAGCTCAACGGCTCAGATTTGGTCTAATTTCTGGTTTCGACCAGCAAAGGAGGCTGGTTTGTTTCCTCCTATTTTGGGTCAACGGCTGGAGCAGAGTATATATATAAGATCTCACATATCAGAGATACAAGCAATACGGCACAAGGATCTGGATTGAGTAAGTTTTACCTTTTCAATACTAATTCAAATACTAATTCAAAACTATGCAAATGTCGGTTATTAGTCAGTTCCCATCAAACATATTGGACTGGACTTTTATAGTCTTGTGCAAATGATTGAGCCACGTACAGGTTAATTTTTCATAATGAATAAAATGCTCCGTTCTTATGATACCATCAATATTATTATTATTATTATTATTATTATTATTATTATTATTATTATTATTATTATTATTATTATTATTATTTGGGGTAAGTTTTCCGATCCAACAAAAGCGATGGCAGGTTTGAAAGTTCCTTTTAAGTGGTGATTATTTAAAATAGAAACGTCAGCGATTAAAATACAAAAAAGCTTAATGAAAATGTTTTTTCCCCTGTTCTGAGGGCCTGTTTTTGTAGGCCGCAACCGATGGAGGAACTTTTACCAGCCGTCCATATATACCGTATATGTATTGAATTAAGTATTCATTTTTAACAAATTGTATTCTACTTTATTTAGTAGACACGGGGACAGAATGAAATAGCAGGAATCCGTGTTTCTGTTGCAAAGTTCCGGGTCAGAGAGCATCTGATGGCCGCTGTCCGCGGTGCTGAACCGGGTCTCTGGAATCCCATTTTCAGCCCAGAGCTGGAGCCCTGATACCAGCCACGGATTCAAATATAATCTACTTTGATATAAAAATGGAAGAAAATTCTACCTAGTTGTTATGAATTAACGCACAAGCTTTTCTGAACAAACCAGATCCACCAATATTTACCGTTCTGGGTCGAGCAGAGGGGTAGGCTACTGTAAACGGCTCAAGTCGTCCCCAGCGGCTTCCCTAAAGATGTGAAGGGGTCATTTTCACATCATATCAAGTTGTAACTGCGTCTGAATCCCTTCTTGCGGCATTTAAAGGAGAAGCCCATCCAGCAGGATGGAAATTATGGGAGAATCAGTGAGGCTCTCCGCAGGGTTCGCCTCCTCCTGCTGGATTGACGGGAAAACGCACCTTAAATTCGGTTTGTCTTTCAGAAGAAGTAGAAAAAAAGGCTCCCATCTAAAAGGAAGCTGACTGTTTCATTTTAGGCTCGTAAACTGTGAGCTGACATTAGATCTGTGAGCTCCAAAAGAGTTTTTAGCCGCAGACATAAGCGCTTTGAGGAAAGCGTTTTCTTCCTCTTTACTTTTTTGTTTGCTGCTGTAACTGTCTTATACCTTATTATATTTTTTATGACATAGAAAATTACCAAATTTTAGGTTTATGTTTTTCCAAACGGTACCCAGATGGGCATCAACTCAAAACGCATACTCTTTTATTCGATTACAGTTTTGGCAAAAACAAAAACAAAACACAATTATATATGAATTAATTTATTTTATTGGACTGTGAAACGTTTATGAAAGCATCAAATGAATGTTTGAGGGAAGTGTGATCGGCTTTTGGGGTCTGTTACACGTCAAATCTAATTATTATTGTTATTAATGATATTATTGTAGCGATGTTTATTATGACATCTCAAATTATATAGCCACAGAAATTATTTCAGTAATATTCATTAATAATGTTGATGATTATAGTGCAACTATAAGTAATGATAATAATATGAATAATGTCAGCCTTTGATAATAACCTGTTCGCTTTAAAAGTTGTCGCGATATTTGCGGTGACCATCCCGTGTCCCACTCACGGACATTTGCACAACTGGGGCCCAGATCAGAGGGTGACCATTCCCAAGTCGGGCAACTCGTGTTGCAAGAGAGGAGCCCGAGTCAGCTCCGCGGGAGGGGGGGGGGGGGGGGGCGCCTGCACCTGAGGGAGAGAGAGGGAGAGCAGGGGGAGGAGATGGTGCGATGGGGGCCGACACCTTCTGCAACAAAGCGGCCCACTGTGTGTGCGGAGGGTGGCCGGGCCGTGATGCTGAGCCCTTAAATGAGTGCCCCGCGCGCGGCCGGACCTCAGAGAGCGCGCGCGGCGGACAGGTAGCAGGGAGCTTTTTTTTTCTCTCTCTCTCTCACTGTCTCAGGATGCTCAGCGGGCTGATGAATAACTTTATATCAGTCCGTTTGGAGAGTGGAAGACTTATCAGAGAGTAACCGAGAGGGGAAATAGACTATTACATATATATTAATAAACAGAGACATCTTTGAAACTTTAGAGGTAAAAAAAAAAAAAAAAAAAAGGTGTCCCTTCTTGATGAAGTAAAGGACTCCATCAGGTACTGATTTCCCAATTCAACAAAGGCAATTTCGGTCCGATTGGGACTGGAAATAACCGCTGTGCGCTCCGCAGGATGTGCGCCATGGACGCGACACCGGAGAAGAGCGGCGGCGCGGCCACTCCGCGGGCTCTGCTGGCGGCGTGCGTGGCCCTGCTGAGCCTCCTGCACCTGTGGCTGTGGCTGCGGCCGCGGGGGGTGGGGGGGGGGCCGCGCCTGCCCGGCCCGTTAGGCTGGCCGCTGGTCGGGAACGCGCCGCAGCTCGGCAACGCGCCGCACCTGTACTTCGCGCGCATGGCGAAAAAGTACGGCGACGTCTTCCAGATCCGGCTGGGCTCCCGGCGCGTGGTGGTCCTCAACGGGGACTCCATCAAGCAGGCGCTGGTCAAGCAAGGGTTCGACTTCGCCGGCAGGCCGGACTTCACGTCGTTCCGGTACATTTCGGACGGGGACAGCCTCGCGTTCGGCACCGTCACAGACTGGTGGAAGACGCACCGCAGGGTGGCCCACTCCACGCTGCGCATGTTCTCCACCGGGAACCCGCAGACCAAGAGGACCTTCGAGCAGCACGTCCTGTGCGAGTTCAAGGAGCTGCTGAAGCTGTTCCTGGCCAAAACGCGAGATCAGCGGTACTTCCAGCCCATGTCCTATCTCGTGGTGTCCACGGCCAACATCATGAGCGCGGTGTGCTTCGGGAAGAGGTACTCCTACGAGGACGAGGAGTTTAAGCAGGTGGTGGGCAGGAACGACCAGTTCACCCAAACCGTGGGAGCGGGGAGCATCGTGGACGTGATGCCCTGGCTCCAGTACTTCCCCAACCCCATCAAGACCATCTTCGAGAACTTCAAGAGTCTCAACCGGGAGTTCGGAGATTTCATCCTGGACAAAGTGGTGGAGCACCGGAAAACCATCCAATCCGATGCCGTGAGAGACATGACCGACGCTTTTATCGTGGCGCTGGAGGAAATAAAAAACAAATTAGGGCACCCGCCAGGGAAAGACTACGTGGTCCCCACTATCGGGGACATATTCGGGGCAAGTCAAGACACCCTGTCTACGGCCCTGCAGTGGATCATCGTCATTCTCGTCAAGTAAGCAAAAGTATTTGATGGTGTCATGATCATGGGAAGGATAATTGTGCCTGTCAGCTGACTAACTTTCATTATGGAGAGGCATTTGTGTTCTGAAACTGTAAAGTGTGGGGGTGAGGCAGAGGCAGAGGCAGCCTCAGTCTGAGGGAATGGAGAGAAAAGCCAAGTCGGCACTTTACTGGAGGATGTTGTTGGCGGGCTTTCTGTTATTTACTCTAGTTTTCTCTCTGTCCAGTCTGGTTCCGACTGTGAGAGAACACAGAGATTTAGTTGTTTTGCTCAGAGAGGTAGTTTATTTTCTCGTCTCCGGGCGGCCGCGGTAAATCTAGCCCTGGAGGTGGGCTGCCTGCGTGGTCTTCCAATGGATGACCTCCCCCTTTAATCTGCTCTGGCCTGTGACCCCAGGTACCCTGAGATCCAGACGCGTCTCCAGAGGGAGGTGGACCGGGTGGTGGACCGCGGGCGCCTCCCCTCCATCGAGGACCAGGCCCAGCTGCCCTACGTCATGGCCTTCCTGTACGAGGTGATGCGCTTCACCAGCTTCGTCCCGCTGACCATCCCCCACGCCACCACCGCCGACACCTCCATCGGGGGCTACGCCGTGCCCAGGGACACCGTGGTCTTCGTCAACCAGTGGTCCATCAACCACGACCCGGCCAAGTGGTCCCGGCCCGAGACCTTCGACCCCGAGCGCTTCCTGGACCCGCGGGGCGCCCTGAACAAGGACCTGGCCGGCGGCGTGCTCATCTTCTCCCAGGGCAAGCGGCGCTGCATCGGCGAGGAGCTGTCCAAGATGAAGCTGTTCGTCTTCACCGCCCTGATGGCCCACCAGTGCCACGTGAAGGCCGACCCGGCCAAGCCGCCCACGCTGGCCTACGACTACGGCCTGACCCTCAAGCCCCACGCCTTCTCCATAGCCGTGGCCCTGCGCGACCACATGGCCCTGCTGGACGCGGTGGCCGCCCAGGGCGAGCCCCCGTCAGACCAGTGAGGAAAAAGAACGGAGCTAAGGACAATGCCCACGATATGAAGGCCGACACACAGCTGAGAGACACTGGCTCACGTTTGTGTTTGTATTTGTATTTATAGCCCGGAACATTAGGGCTAAACTGAAATTAAATCTGCAACAAAAAGAAAAGAAAGAAAAAAAATGCTCATGTTGTTGCTTTCAGGTTTAAGAGAAACAATATTTTATTCTCCAAAACATCTGCTACTGAATCTTTAAAATGCCTCCTCGTTTTTCGCACATATAATTTATTATTTCATTTTTCTCGCAAGTATATTAAAAAACTCTTTACATGTAATGTCTTCTTGTCTTTAGAATTTTTTATTTTTTATTGCTGAATGTGACAGAAGATGGAGTCACTGCATTTTTAAGTGACTTAAGTAAAGTGCCATGGTCAGAATGCCGACCGCCTAACAGGTGAATAAGCTCTTGTAGTACATCAGCTCTTAAGCTTAATCTCTTTTAATATCAAACAATAACTTTGTAAAGTGCAAATTATGGAGGTGTATTACTCAGGAAAAGCGGGTTTTAATAAGTCCACTTTCTGTTCTATCTAGAAACTTTTTGAAAGTTTTCTGATATATTCTGAAATGTTTCATGAATGCTGTTTTAAAGAAATAAGCTGAGGACTAGAAAAGGTTCCCCCAGACACATCTGCATGTGATTATGGGGTTTGTCAGCTGCAGATGTGTGCAGATGTCAGGTCAGTTCTGTTCAGCTGGTTCTTTGCATTATGAATGTTGCATTAAAAAAAAAACCCTTCCGTGCTACAAGAGCTCTTTGGCCTCAAGATGTAGCAAAAGTCAAAGTCTGCTCTATTGAGGGAGGGAGGGGGGTGGAAATGGGGGGTGCCGTTCTACTTTGAATATCAGAGCAACCTGTTGTTCTGAGCACTGGGAGACAGGTTTTTGTCAGGGCTGCAAACAAAAACGGCTGAATTCCCAAAGCAGTTCGAACCAGGAAAAAAATGATTTGTTTATTTGCTCCCATTTGCGCTGAAAAAAACAAAAACCTACAGTGGATTCCCAAAAGATGGCTTCCTCTCTCCAATTCTCCAAATGGTATTGCATGTAACTGTACCCGCCATGTTGCATTCTCTGAAATTTGTCTAGTTGAATGTCGTGCAAAACCCCGAATAAACCGACAACATCATCCGAGCTTCTGCAGTCTCCGTTCTCTGATTCACAAGCTGGTTAAATTGACCCCAAACGTGAGAGTATTTGACACTTATCAGTCAGAGCTGACGAGGGAATCATTTGAACGTCTCCGCTAAGAGTGCAGAAAAACTCTTATCGTGTTGCCAAGTGTGATGGGAACAAAGAGGACATGTTCATGAGAATGTTTTCCCCGTGCAGCGTTTACCTTGCCCCGCCAGAACATCCTGTCCTCAATCAGCAGGAGGCTTACGGCCAACTGAGTCAGAGCGTAACAAATTCAGATAGGAGATGACTCCAGATAGGGAGCTCTCCGTTCCACGTCTCTTCCTTTTTTTTTCCTTCTAAGAATACAACATCAAACCTGAGGTAGGAAACAGTGCCCGTGGAGTCATGCGTGGCAGAGTTCCAAGCGCCCGACTTTATGAATGGCGAGTAAAACGCACTTTTTCCTGAGTTCTGGAAAAAAAAAGAAGAAAGAAAGAAAGAAATGACGTGACTACGGTGACCGTGCACCCGATTCAACTCGAGAATAAGCTGAGTGTTAACAAAAGCTTTTAACCCTGAGGGCTGATAGCATCTGCCTCCTTGTATTTCAGGAAGCTGCAGAAGGAAGCAAATATCCCATATGGAAATAACACTGGACCCACATACAAAAAAAAAAAAAACACAAAGAAAAAATAGAATTGCATGCATATGGTCGATGCATCACCAAATAAAGAAGACAGAGGAAATGTAAAGTTTTGCAC